CCCAAGGAGGAAGGAAGGTGAAGAGAGGAAAGAAAGAAAGAAAGAAATGGAGAAGAGAGAAAAGAAAAAAGCAGGTGTTCCCAGCTACGAACAATCGTCCACGAACACAACAAAAAAAGAAAGGGGAGATCCTGAGTATTCCATTCAGGAAAACCCCAAAAAGCAAAGAAAGAAAGGGGGAGGGAAGGGGAAGGGGGGGGACTAAGCTCGCGCACCAAGCAGGTACGTTTTCACGACAGCTTGGATGGGTCTTCGTTGGCCCATGCCATCCAAGTGTCCATGGGCCCCCTGCTTGAAACAAAACAAAACAATTCAACGGAATCCCTGTGACTACAAGGGGCACACACACACACACACACGAACAGTTCAGTGGAAGAGTCACGCGCAGATTTGCATAGAACCGATAGAAGGTCATCCTGAATCCTCACCATCATGAATGTGGAGCATGGTGCTCTGCGGGAAGTACACCAAGAAAGGTAGTAACACATCTGCCACACGGCATCCAACAACGTCATGAAGCACCACGAAACACAAGCTATTCATGAATATTGAACATCAACGATCGCCGCAATGAGATTCAATGAAACTGTGCTCCCAATCCGGCGAACGGTCACTGTACACACTGCAAAGCCGTGGGAGTCCTGCCTGTTCCAACTAGATCATCTACAGTAGTGAGTATGGTGCTTATCGTAATGTGCTCTGAGAGTTTCCATCCATCCGGCTTTTCGTAGAAGCAATAATTACCATGACTCTCAAAATGAGGCACCGTAAGCGGCAATCACTTCCCATTTTAGAACGATTTTGTTGGTGTCTACTTTCCAGAGGTCCAACCGCCAGCCAATTGTATCTTGTGCCAGCAATCACATCCTATCCCTGTCTCCTTCACTTGGCACAGGTTCTTCTCCAAAAGCAGTGACCTTGAACAGAAAGGGAGCATGAACAGCCAAGTTGCCATTAGGAAAGAATGGCATTGGCATATGGCATAGACGCCAATACCCCATTCAACTCTGTCTGGAAGGTCTTTTACCTAATGATGTCTTGCAAGCTTTGTGACAGGAAACACAGTCATTCCTTACTCCCTGCTATCATTATCAACACGGACTGAAACGTTGAACACTTCAAGGGTCACCTTCAAACAAATGCAGCACTGGCACATCTTAAGGGCTACAGTACAGTACTTGAACTTGCCAGGATAGATACATATTCTATTCCAACCTCTCAACCACCTCAAGCTGTTCTCCATATGCAAAGGACAGCCATGTAACCGTGTCAGAGAACTCCCTCCCCCCCACTGGTCACGCCGCCCCGAGCGATGACGCTGGCCAAAGGCACATGAGAATGAGGAACTCCGGAAAATCCACAGCCACACCTCCCCGTGTCTCTGAATGGAGGCCGAACGGAGAAGAAATGGATCGCGGAGAGATTGAGAGTGGATGATGCGGAGCGTCTGACTGGGGGTCGAGGGTGGGAGCCTACACTGGGGTTGGTCGGGAGTGGATGAGAGGTCGGTGAGTTGGTCTGACGAACTGTACTTTCACCAGAAGAAGTGGTGATGCGATGATACTTCCCGAAGTGTGGAGACCTCAAGCAACGCTGGTGACGCTTTTGGTGGCACGAACAAGACCCAGCCAAAATAAGATAACAACAAGATAATGTTTCCTAAATCAGAAACGAGACCATGTGGCCGGAACACCTGGAAAACCAAGGATCAGCCTTTTGCAAAGCTTTTGCAACCTTTGGCCAAACATATTGAAACGATTTCAAACGCGTTTTGAGTCACACCCTTGATTTCTACGAACTCCTCACGGCTGGCTGCGCGCACGGGGCTTGTTGAGGTCGATCTCGCCATAGCGAGGCTTGCGCGACTTGGGGCTGGTGGGCTCCACCACCTTCGGTACGGGGGGTCGTCCGCCGGTTGGAAGAGGACGAAGGAACGGATGCTTTCGCCGATGATTACCAACATTTGTATAGTTTTTACATGGTACTTGGTTGGGCTCATGGTTTTGTATGGGTTTATTTCCTCTACAAACTGGGGGTTCTCCGCTTCATGTTTGTTGTGTATGTCTTTGAACCCAAAAATCGGGTGGGGCCGACTTTGGGGGATGAACCACACCTCGCCGCCAATACACAAGATGTGCGTGCATTTATGTACCAAGCATGTTTATGGGTTTTCAACACATTTTCTGCGGGTAAGAAACCACAGGTCACAGAAGACATTACTGCTGCACAAGCAGGGACCCCTGGCCTTCTGAGCAAACTCAGGATGCATGTGCCGGTCAATTTCGAAGAAAAGCTGAGTCCTCAGGGCCACCAGCCAAAACAGAGAAGTTCAGAGGCCGAAACCAATGCAATCTAAAGACCTAAAGTTGAAGCAAAAACCTTTATAAGCTTTCCAGACTCTGCAGAATCTCAAGCATCCAAGACTGAATTGCCCGATCCTTTCTGAAATCAAATCAAACATAGAAGCAACATGCTTCTTCTGGCCAGGTTTGTGGTTTCGAATGACATGCAGATGCAGATTCTCAGGTCACCCCGGATAAGACCCGGAAGATTCATGAAACACATTGGAGTACAGGACCGACCGGACCCCGTTCCAAGTTCGAGCACAGGACAGTAAGCGTAAGCGTGACGCTTCACCAATGCAAGTCAGCTCGTCGGGCACACAGTTTCACGATGTTTGACTTTTTCTACAATCATAAACAATCATATTATGCAACCCCAGCGACAGGACCACACGAGGAGACGATCTTTTTAGGCATGGCCATCTGCATAGGCCAAGCCATCCATCCATCGTTTCAGGCATGGCATCCCTCTGAGCCGCCCCACAAGTCTTCTCCGTTCTTTCGACCCAAGCCCACCACCGGCTCCAGGAGTTCCAGAAACTGGAGACCGAAAACGCCGAGAGACCCACCGTTTCGGGAGACCACGAGAGACCACGGTTGCTTTGCTCGCATGGTTCGGATTCTTGCGAGTCGCACACGGTCAGCTTCTTCATATCCGGAACCACTCATGCTGACCGTGGGATCAGCTGAGCTCTTAAAAAGGAGCCTCCGAAGTGGGGTGCTTCTCCGAAGCCGTGGCTTGGAAGGACCCAAACCCACCCGTCCTCGGACCCGCCACCCGCTGTGCTCGCCTCCTCGAGGCGAAGCTGTCCACGAAAGCAGCCCTTCTTGTTTTCCTCCACAGAGGATCCGTCGCATGGGCGGTACCCGGTGGGTTCAGAACCCATCAGAACCCCCACCATGGGTTTTCCATGGTTTTCCGACGGACGAAGCGATTGGATGGCGATGTCAGCAGTGATTGGTGTGACACACTACGAGAACCACGGGGATCAACCGGGAGAAGTTGATGAGACAAATGTGAGGAATAGACCGCAAAAAGACCACCTGCAAAAAAGGAGTACGATGTGGAATGGAAACCATATGAAACCATCCAAAGGATCGATGAGTTCAGAATGCTCCAAGTGACAAAAAAAGACGTCATTGACACAGCGTCAATGAGCATCATCTCCTTCACGGTTCATTTCTCCTCCTCCTCCCGGTCGCTGGCGGCG